CGGCGGTGTTCACGAGCGCCGCGGGTCTGCAGCGCCACCTGCCCGAGCACGCCGCCGCGCCGCGCCCCTACGACTGCGCGCGCTGCGGACTCAAGTTTTTCTTCCGCGCCGAGCTTGATAACCACGCTTTTGTGCACATCGAGGAGGCGGAAATGGCCCAGAGGGCGTTTTATGAGGCTTACGCGAGGGGTGCTGCGTCGGCGTGGGCGGCCCTCGCGCCGCCGCCACCGGACGCGGCGCCCGCGCCCTCGGTATCGACACCGGTCCCGCTCGCCGCCGAACATCCGGTTAAAATAGAACCGGAAATAAAAGAAGAGCGAAATACCGAGGAATACATAGAAGTGTCGTCACCCCCGCCCCCCTTGGCGCCGGCCTCCCCCGCCGCGGTGGTGAAGCAGGAGCACGGAGAGCAGGACTGAGCGCCGTCAGACAACGTGATATCGTCCGTGAGGCGGGCCTCCCGCTGCAATATTAGATTACGTCCCAGCAAACACGCTGTTTAGCTAATAGTTATGTTTAACGTTATTTAAACTGTTGAAACGCGTTTAGAACGCTGCATCTATTGTAAGTATACATACAGTTAGCTCGTATCGTTTATGTTCTATGTTTTATATTATAACTTTTACACACTTATTTGTAAAAATTGTTAACTTAATAAATTATTATGTTAGGCTTCACAACTTGGGGTTTTTATGATGATCGATACGATCAGCCTTTGACCCGGCTACGTCCTAAATTGACTTACCTGTTTTTTGCTCATATTTAAATGTAAATATGACTGTCAATTTCGATCCCGAATTTGTTGTAATTGTTTCACTGAAATAGGGCTAAGACGTATAACAAAATACAATTGTGCTCTTATTTATCTCATTTCATACGTTTTTTAATTTTTTATTTAATAGCAGTATTTGTGTTAATCGATATGGCAAATAGATACTTTTAAATTAAACGACTCTTTAGGACCATCAAAATTATGCAGTCTACGCGTTAAACATTGACTTACTATTGCACTGATTTTTCGGTCTCTTAGTGTAGGTTTATCATACTAAATCTCTCTAAGGCAGACCACTTAACGACTCTGTACGCAATGAGTCTGCTTTGAGTGCTGTCACTTAGATGACTAAGCCGCAGCAACTTGCTGCTGTATCCAGGGCAGCAGGCCGGCGACGTTGACATATGCCGCAGACACGTTGGCGCTGGCGCAGCCCAGACCCCACGCCACCAGTCCTACCACCACCCACTGCCCGTTCACAGGACACACCAACCCCGAGCCCCCGTCACCCTGCAACCGAGGGAAAATCTGACATATTGTTTATACAAGTTTTTTTATTATTTAATAAAGTATAAAAATTTCTTTTCATTTACAGACATACCCTTTACTTTTATTGGAATGATTTAATGAATCTTGGCTCCATGTTATACGATACTCACGGTACAAGCATCCTTGTTAGCTTCACCTCCAGCGCAAACAAAAGAGGTGGTGTCGAGGACGAAGGTAGGTCCGAGCCTTGCTGCCTGAAGCTGAGCCTGGCAATTCGCCGGCGCCACCACCGGCACATCGACCTTCTTCATGATCTGCTGGTACTGTCCCGTCATGCCGAACATGTCTTTACCCCAACCCGACACCATGCACCTGGAACATACAATTTGTTTGGTCCACAGCATACAGCAAAATTACCTTTCTTCTAAATTTAATTCGAATGATGTCGCTGCTGAGTAACTAACCATGGGTTTCTGAGACAAACATCTCCGTTTTAAACAAGACGAAGATGTGAAAGATAAAGCTCGGATGACGATTTAAAATTTTGGCCTCAGAAACCAACGGCAAGACAGTTTGACCTGAGAATAATCAACACCTCATACATCCATAACTTTAAGTTTGTCCGTATTCCACTTCTTAAAACCTATTCTTTTCAATACCCGCCTAGTCTTATTCTATTACGAAAATTACCAAATAAGTTCTATTTAGTTATATGACAAGGGATTACCTGATACCGGTGTACACTGAATTGGAGTTCGGAGGTAGACAGGCTCTGTTGATTGTAGTCGCGGACCCACTTGCCGGAGTAAATGGCACGGGGGCGTTCAATCTTAGAACCGTCAAATCATACTGTAGTGTATTAAGATTGTACGAAGGGTGACTGAATACCTTCCGTATCGTGTACTCTTGGAAAGGTACAGGTTCGTAAGTCCCCGCCGCGTCCCATTCGCCAAGACGGACTTTAACATTAGGTGCTGTTCCTGAAACACTAAATACCACGATTGCAAATATAAACATCTAGAAGAAAGCAATGAATTTTATAAAGATAAGGGCAACGTAAAATGTAACTTACATGTAAGGCAACATTCTGTGGGTGACTGTTAAAACGTTCATTTGGTCTATCAGAACGCCACCGGCAATGTAATCATTTTGTAAAGTCAAGATTAAAGCCTGTAATGAATTTTATGCTTGAAACTACCATTTCCAAGACTACTTAGCTTTCTGCGATTTGTTATTTATATATATGTTACCTGCCAAGGAAATTCTCCAAAGTTCGCTTGACCAGCAGCTGGCGTAACGCCGGTGGATGGCACAGTCTGCAAGGTACCGCAAGCGATCGTGGTTGTACTGCCACAGCAGTATTCTTGCCCAGTTGGGCATTGGGTTGAACCCTAAAATCAATTATTTTTTTATGTATAGAGGCCCTATTGTACAACGTAGAAATTGTTTTCTTATTTCAAAATGTAACAGTTTGTCTAACCATGTATTCAATTAACAACAAGCTAGATCGCTCTTTATTATCTTTACTTACGAACATCAGCAAAATTAGTCAACATGAAAACTTATTTATTAGCTTACCGGGGTGACAATTCTTATGTCTATCATTCCGGCACCAGAAGACGTCCGAACACAAGTGCCGGTGGGAACACATCTGCAGCTCTGTCTCTTGCGAATATTGTGGTTACTACGGGTAACATCGCTACGGAAATTGTCGTATAAATCCTTTAAAGTAAGCTGTACACTCCGCCGCTGTCGTGGGAATCTCACTGCCGTATCGTAGGACGGCACTTGGCCACTGTATCCAGATATTGGCGGCGCTTGTATCGCTCCAGAGGATCCCGGTGTCGTGCCGAGCCTGGGATCTATGGGGAGTGAGCCTGAAGCAGGGTCATCAGGGTTAGATATACAAATCAAGTCGGGATTGTCACATAGTAAAACTGATAAAAGCACTCCACCTGTAGTTGCCGCGGTGGATATTGTGGTGGGGGCAGCAGTGGTGGCGGCCGTGGTTGTTGTGGTTGTAGGCGCAGCTGTTGTTGCGGTGGTGGGCGCGGCTGTTGTCACCGTAGTGGTTGGCGTCGATGGCGGAGGTGGGGGTGACGTCATATTTCCAGGTCGTGCAGTTGTAGTAGTTGTGGTTGTTGTGGTCGTGGTAGTGTTTGGTGCCGCCGTCGTTGCAGCGGTTGTTGCCGCCGTGGTAGGCTGAAGAATGGGAGTAGGAACTCCTTGCACCACTATTACGTTGGGGGGAGCAGGTTGCGCGGGCAATAGGCCTAGACAGGCCGTTATAAGCCAAAGACACATATCTATGTACTTATTATTTGACTCTGGATTAGCTTTTAAGTACTACGGTGCACCTCGCCGGGTGTTCGTTTCGGTTTAAAAGCGACACGTCGATGTCGGGTATTAAATATGCCCTCTGAAATAATTGATGGTATTCCCCTAATAACAGCAGCCTTCATGGTGCCTTGCGCATAGCCTAATGGCTACAAATTGTCGCAATCATCGAGATGTGGATAACTAATGTAGCCTCCTGCATAATATTAATAATTTTATTTTTATAAACGGGCCAATAGTACAACAGTTTCCTTTCTTACTGAAGGCACAATCGTTTGATGCGATCATGTATTATAAATTATACAAACATTATCCTACACTACATAGACAGAATTGGTAATAGTATATTTTTACCGTTATTAAAAGTAACATTTGACATTCAACAACTCTTCTGTTTTCTGTCTTCTGTCAATGCCAACATCCATATAAAAAGATATTGTTATTTCAGTTGTTTGGAGAGTATAAAAGAGACTACAAATTGTTTTCATGAAAAACTTTCGGCAGTTGAACTTACGGTTTGGGGATTGCTTCGAGTCGTAAAGGTCAATAGTGATGACGATTCAGTAACCTGGCGAAACACTGCCTACTATCTATTCATCAATATAAGAATTAAAAAACGAAATTTACGCAAATAGCTATCTCTATAATCGACGTTACATTACACAAAATCACGTGTACTTGCAAATCGTTATGACACAAGCCTTTAGTGAAGTTCCGCTTATTTATAAAAGAACCCGTATTCAGTGTACTGTTCATATTTGGTATTGAATTTCTGCTAAATATTCTATTTCACAACTAAATCAGGAGACCGTGTCGAAATAGAAATAACAAATTGTCAGTGACTCACAACAATTAGGTAATAACGAGATTTGAACCGCGAACGATTCTTATTTAGGTTAAAACGCTTTAGAGCGAATAATGATCGACCGACGCCACTGTGTGATGTGAACGTATGGAATATGACACATGATTAGGAATTAACATATATGATAAAAGTTTTATGCTGCCAAATAAATCGAATTTCTAAAACGCTAAATTAAAATAAAGTTTTGAAGGATAAGATTGAAAACCTTTAACCCGGACAAAAAAGCTGCTTAATTTGTATAGCAATTTATCGTTTTAAGTCACTATAAGTATGTCTAAATAATATGTGATTACCACCTAAACCTAACTAAATATTTCGTGTTTACCTAAATTTCTGACTATGTGACTATTTCAGACTGGACGGACGTCCAGATTATGTTAAATATCTGTGATAAATTTAATCATGATTAGTTGAGCTGTTTTGTAGACCTGTTACCTTCAAACAAACATCCATCCATACATCCAAACTTTCGTATTTACAATAGTAGCAAGATTAATTAGGTAGAGTACAATATATGATTTGCTGTTTAATAATTTGAAATTTAATTCAAAGTAGTTGTGTGGTACCCATAAGTAGATTTAGTAATAGAAATCCACACTAAGGAACTCCTTTAGTGAAAATTTAGTTATACAAGTTACTCCATCTTTTTTGTGCACTAAGTTTTATTTATCATGAGATTTCATTTTAAATGAGGAGAATTGTTAATACTTCGATAGATGGCGCTAAAATTAGTTGTCAAAATAATTAAAAGCAAGAGGGCGTGCGTTATCGTAATAATCGTGAGCCGGTTCACGCAGGCGCAGGTCGGGCTCACGTCAATACAAACACGAGAAACTTCACAACCGAGACCGTTACGTATATATTTATAGATAATGCCACAGTGCGATGCGAGTCAGTACAGTACAGTAGTGCTCGCTGTTCAGATAGCGGCTGGATTGTTTGAGACCGCTCGCAACATGTTTTAGTAAATCATTCATATGTTCTGCGGCTATGAATAATCATCGATTGGTGTATTTTGTTACAACCGACGTGCATGGATTTTTCAGTGAATTAATGTGTTCCTCTTTTAAGTGATATCGACATCGGCGATCACACATGAATTAGGATAGATTCTATAAATACTGATAGTTTACACACTAGCCGTGTCCTGGTAAAATGTGCAGATGTCCTAAGCTACACTTATTCAATTTTAAAAATAAAATCTTAAATATACCCTCAGAGGTGTAATAAAAATCAAACAAATGTTCGGTGTTATCAACAAACTGATGTATTTTTGTCAGCGATTTTTCTTCGCAATGCCTTCCTACAGTCAGGAAATAGAACTAAGCGAAGCGAGCGAATTCAGGAGACATAACGGACCGAGTAGGAAAGGGTTGGACGAAAAGATTAAATTTTCTAATGACGATCCCACAAAAACCGTCCCCGACGGATTAAACCAAGATCAAAAGCAGGCTTTCGAGTTGCGGGATTTTCTCAAGAATACCAATAAACCGATGTTGGAGGAAAACGAAAAGCCAGATCCGCCGGTCTCCGTTCTCGCAGAGAAGCTGCCGTATATAGATGATGAGCAGGTGGACTCTGAGGATGCAGTGCAGTCTGACGAGGAGCAGCTGGCGTGCCGAGAGGCGGACGAGGTGCTCAATAACGCCGCGTGCCGGCTGCGCCGCTGGCGGGCAGCCTCGCAGAAACTGCGTCGGCCGCGGATCATAGACAACCTGGGCGGTATAGACCAAGGAGGAAATTCCATGAAAAACGCGCTAGGCGTGCACACCGACCTGGCCGACCGGCTGCGCAGCCTGGCGGCGGCGGGCAGCGTGTCAG